TTCATGGGCAGTGCAGAAAACATTATTACTGTCCAGCATCTAAGACGGTTAATTCGGCTATAAGAGTCAGCACATTCAAATCCTCTGTGTTTGAAAAGTGAATGCTGCAACAAAATGAATAACAGCTATTTCACTTCTCCTTTTTTTCTCCCACACATTCCACATTTTACTGGAATTGATTGTGTTCAATAATTTTTGATGAAATCAGCAAGTTCAGGTTGCGTCATCTCAGGCCAGTTGTTATTCAAATGCACATATGACCGATGTTGACTGAACAGTGAGAATGGAGGAGAGGAGAGAACCCACGGGTGGTAATTTTAATGGTGGATTTAAGGAATTCATTTGTGAAGAAGACTTCCACGATGAAGAGCATCCTCCTCATCATCAATCTAACAGGCACCAAGGTATAATAAATTACATTTGTGTTTAATGGGCTTTCGTAGTCTGATTCGGGTGTCTGTTGGTTATTTTGATCAAGTTTGAACATACCACTGCTAAAATAAGTTGAAATACTGTCATGATAAGATGCAATGATTTGAGACAGCTGAGTGAAAGATAAATTAAAGCTATAAACCATAATAGAATATTAGCGTGGGCCCAAGCTTTTGTGGTGCCATTTCACTTTAGTTTTATTATAAATCTTAATTTCTGATTAATGTTAAGTCAATTCTTGGTTTGCTGTTGGTTCCCATTATCTCATTATCATTTTTTGGTATTTCAAAGTTTTTTTCTTGGTACTTCAGAAATCTAGTAGTGGTTTATTTATTAGTATTTGCCTTTAGTGTGCTTAGTGATGTTTTTAACAACCCCCTTTTATTGCATGTAATGCAATGACACACCAACAGAGGGCAGTAATATCTCTTCAACATACATTGTAAAATTACTATTACAACACTTAGTGTTTTCCCTCAGTTTTTGCGGGTTCATTGTTTTTCCAGTCCTAGTGAAGAGTTTTGTTTTTTGTTCTGTTGTGTTTTGCTTCATATTCTTAGTTTATACATTCATGTTGAGATTCCTGATTCGTTTTTTTCAACTCTACTCTCTGAAGTTCTGGATTCTTATATCTTGAAGCTTAAGTTTGACTTAATTATTGATCTGCAATGATTCTGTTGTATTGTCTGTGAGTTCCAGTTACTGTTTATATCATAGTCCCTGGGTACTGAGTTTTTCAGTGCAGGACTCAGTCTAGTTTTTATTTTTATAGTTGAAGTTTAGTAGTTGTTCTTAATTGCTTTGTGTTCACATGTCTTGTTTTTGTAGCCTTACTTTTGTGCCTTCAGGTCTCAGCTTTGGTTACACTTGACTTAAGGGTTGTATTTTGTTAGATCTCCTTCATATTTCTATTCTGTTCCTCCTTCTGTCTCATCTCTGTTTGTCTAACCTTCAGTGTTTTATTATTTCTGTGTCCATGCCTCAATGTCTCACAATTAAGTATTCAAAACCTTCAGGCACCAAGCAGTTCTTGATAGTATAGTATTTGTAGAGTTTGAGTGGTTTATTCTAGTCTGATGTTTGATCTTTATTTAACTTCACTTTCCTATTTTGGAGTATTTGTGTTTTGTTCCTTTATTAATTTCTCTCTTACTTCCCCCTTGTCTCGTCCTGTGTTTATGTCCCTTTGTTTCCTTGTTCTGGTCGTTCTTTCTTGTTTTGTATTTTAGGTTCGTTTTGCTTCCCTCCCTTCGTTCCTAGACTGTTAATTAGTTTCACCTGCATCTCATGCCTCACCTGTTTCCCATCCTCATTGAGTTCTGTTTTGTTCTGAGTCTCCGTTTCTTTGTTGTTGCAGTATATTTCATATTTGGAAACATGTCTGTTTCCTGTGTGCAGTGCTGCTTGGCTCTCGTGTTCTTATTTATAATTTCTGCACTTTTAACTTTTAAATGGGCTTTGTATTAATGTTAAAGACTCACCGTTTTGGAGTGCTTCTTTTGAGCCTTGTCACTACACACTACACATGATTTAAGTTCAGCAAGTAGTAAAAAGATACATTAAGTTGCCTTCATAACATGTAGCAGAACTTCAAGCAAGTGTTGGTCACGAAAGATTTGTCATTGTCATTAAGCTGAAAATTAATTTCTTCTCTGTATAGTGTCCATGTTCACTATGAGTCCTGGGAGAAGTCACAGACTGGCTGCAGTGAGCCTGGCCCTACTCGCTGCTGTTTTGCTGATAGTTGATATTGGCCTGGGAGTCCATTGTAAGTCAGTCTGAGGACGTGCAATGCACAGAATCATTCTTATTGTCAAACAGATACTGAATTTTATTAACAATCCAGAACAAAAACCAAAAAATGTTAATGAATAAAAAATGGCTAAAATTATTTGTACTATGTACTAAAATATGATTGTTGTTTGTCAGTGTCAGTAAATAATGTTATTTACGAATAAGAAAAACAGTAAAAAGAACTAACCCTATTTTGTAGTAACACTGTCTTGTTATCTTGCAGATAACAAACTCACAGACACTCACCTCACGCTCGATGATACCGAACGCATCAGCAAAGAGCTCATCAACCTCCAGGATACTTACAAGACTGCAGTGGAAACCATGAAGGATGCCAGCAAGCAGCTGGACAGTGAGATGAGCCGTCAGACACAAACCAACTGGGAGTTTGAACACCAGACAAAAAGATGCAATGACTATAAAAGTCAGATGGAAAAAATCACAAAGGAAATTGAAACTTCAAGATCACGCTTGTCAATGCAAAGTAAGACCTGTTTCATTATTTCTGTATATAATAAAAATGATTTGTTTCATAATTTTCTATAATAGTGGCATTATCTTTTGGAAACAGACGATGGCTGCAAACACTGTCCTGCAGGATGGATTTTAATGAACTCTGTATGTTACTACTTCTCCTTGAAATCAAATGAAATCAAAACATGGAAGGAATCCAGAGATTTCTGTCAGCTGCAGGGAGGAGATCTTATAATCATAGACAGCCAAGACAAAGAGGTTTGTTAATATTTCTGTGGAGACCATTCATATTGATTGTTTAAAATTTATTTTAATCTTTTTTTTTGTTAGAACTTGACAGTAAATTTCCTAATAAATCATCAAGATGCCTCCCAGCTCTCGACAGACTTCTGGATCGGACTGAGTGATTCCGAGGAGGAAGGGACTTGGAAATGGTTGGATGGAACATTTCTTGTTCAAGGGTGAGAGTTCAGTATGCTACACACAGTGAAACCGCCACTTACAAAAAATGAACTTCTCCTCAATAACATATGTGGCTGAGAGGGAAGATGAAAAAGTGGATGGATTGAAAGCAAATGTTAGCTCTGTAAAGTAAAATGTCTTTTACTTCAGGTACTGGAATGATGGAGAGCCGACCAATCTCAATGATGAAGACTGTGCAGCCTTGTATCCCAGAGTAAACTTCTTCAAAGCTTGGAATGATGTTAGATGTGGAGTCAGAAGGAAATGGATTTGTGAAAAAGCACCAGAATCCATGAGCTAAAATGGCTAATAAGGCATACAGTCTTAGATATGTAAATACTATCACACAAATCACTACAAGTATTTAATTATCCAATATTCTTTAAATCATCCAATTAACATGTATAAGGTGGTTTCACTTTGTCTTCACTTTGTTTTCTGTACCTCTCACTGTCTCTATCGCTCTCTCTCACACACACGCACGCATGCACACACAGATCCTACTGATTTTCACGCGTCATTGGTTTGTCTAATAAAATGACTTTGCCAAACTGACAAAACAGCGTGTCCACCCTTTACGTCATGAGCACAGTTGTTGTCTGGCTGTGGTTGCAGCTATATGGTAATATGACGACTCTTTACTTTGCTCCTTTGCTCCTAATACTCCTATTATCATTAGCCACAGAAATAATCATGACAGGAGTATACAGGCTGGTATTTTAAAGTATTTCTTTAGAAATTCTCCCCTCAGATTACATTCTGCTAGAAAGATGAAACCAAGATGAGCTTGCAACAGAAAGATGGGAAAGAGGAAAATATGGAGAAGGAGAGAAATAACTCATGATCCGAAGCACACCACATCATCTGTCTAACCTGGTTGAGGCAATGTTATAACAGTGTAACTGTGTCCCATCACTTACTGCGAAAGGAAACTTGGCTGCCTGTAATAACATGTAATAACCATAGAAGATGCATCCTTCTATGTGTTTTGCATTGGGATGCTGGCCTTCAACTCTCTGCAAAGTCAATTAGTTACAAACATCATCATCATCATCATCACCTTTATTATAAAGCACTTTAAAACAATCACAACTGACACAAAGTGCTGTACATTGGAACTGTAAAATAAAATTACATGAGATATAAATAAAAACCAAATAAAAGAAGAGTGAAATCATTAATTAAATAACTACTTCAATTAAAAGAGAAACTAAGTCTCAATGAGGTTAAAAGCCACGTTTTCTAACGTGCAAGGGCAAATTATTTCATAATTTTGGAGCCATGATAGAGAAGGTCTGTCCCCTCTGAGCTTCCTCCCGGATCTCGGTACCTCCAGGAGCAGCTGGTCAGCTGACCTGAGAGACCGACAGGGTGTGTGGGGATGAAGAAGCTCAGAGAGGTAAGGCGGGGCAAGATTGTGAAGGCATTTAAAAACAAACATAAGAATTTTAAAATGAACTCTAAAAGACACAGGCAGCCAGTGCAGAGAGGCTAGCACGGGGGTTATATGCTCTCTTTTTCGAGTTCCTGTTAGGAGTCGTGCAGCCGCATTTTGAACCAGCTGCAGACGTGAGAGCAATGACTGACTGACCCCCACATAAAGTGAGTTACAGTAGTCCAGGAGGGAAGAAATAAAAGCATGGATCACTGTTTCAAGGTGCTGCCTCGAAAGAAAGGATTTTACTCTTGCCAGTCGCCTGAAATGATAAAAACTGGACTTCACTGCTCTGATTTGGTTGTCCAATTTAAAATCACTGTCCAACTTAAAACCAAGGTCACTAACAACAGGTTTAAAATAGACTTCCACGGATCCTAAATCAACAGAGTAGGACTCACGGGGACCACTGGGTCCAAACACCAACACTTCTGTTTTCTTTTTGTTAAAATTTAAAAAGTTTAGAGCCAACCAAGCTTTAATGTCATCTAGACATGTCAAGAGAGGTTTTATGGAGATGCCATCCTTTTGCTTTAGTGGTAAATAAATTTGGCAGTCATCGAACAATAACAATGAAATGAGATCCCATGCCTTCTAAGGTTACTCTGCAGAATACTATAAAGCCAATTCTGATCTTATGGCACCGTTGTTGAAAGATATGTATAATGAAGCCTTTTCAAAATGTCAATTACCTAAGAATTTGTCCGAAGCTACTATTTGTTTAATCTTGAAAAAGGACAAGGATCCTCTGTTGTGCAGCAGTTACAGACCAATTTCTCTTTTAAATATTGATTTTTAAAATACTATCTAAAATCCTCGCACTTAGGCTACAACGTGTTCTGCCATTGCTATCGAGCCTCTTGCAATATGGCTGCGTTCAGAGGATAGATTTAAAGGCATTACAAGGTTCGGTGTGACCCACAAACGCTCCCTTTATGCAGATGACTTGCTCCTGTACATTTCTGACCCTCTAAACTCATTCCCGGTGCTTTTTGACATACTGGACCAATATGGTACACTGTCAGGATATAAGCTCAATTATCAAAAAAGCGAGTTGCAACCCCTCAATTCCCTGGCCAGAGCTCTTCCCCACTCAATAGTGCCTTTTAAGCGGACAGAAACCGGATTGAGATATTTGGGGGTTTTTATTTCCTCTTCTATACCTAAAATGATGAGGGAGAATTTTCTATCCCTACTAGAAAATGTTGGGAAAGATTGTGACCGTTGGACTTCTTTACCATTGTCAGTGGCAGGGAGAGTTAACCTGATAAAGATGAGTGTCCTCCCAAAATTCTTGTATCTTTTTCAACATGTCCTGATTCTTTTTACCAAGGCATTTTTTGACAAGTTAGAAAAGATTCTGTCACATTTCAAATGGGGAGGGAAACAAGCTAGAATTCGCAAGTCTATTCTTCAGTCCTCTAAAACTGACGGTGGTCTTGGTCTGCCCAATTTTAGACACTACTATTGGGCAGCTAACATACAAAAACTTTTACATTGGGTTCATAACGACCCCCCTGCACCAGCCTGGGTACAATTGGAAACTGCATCTAGCTGTTACTCATTATCATCAATACTCAGCTCACCACTCCCTTTTTCTCCAACCCTTGTTGGGGATAATCCAATAGCTAAGGAAACGGTAACTATCTGGCAACAGTTCAGAAAATAATTCGGGCTACTTGGACCGTCTTTGCTAACGCCTTTATCAAAAAATTTTAATTTTGCACCTTCAAACACTGATGCGGCCTTTAGCAGTTGGAAAGATAACGGACTTAGGACTGTTAAGAACTTGTACACCTTAAGGACACCTTTCTATCTTTTGCTGACCTATCGTCTAAATACGACCTGCCTAATTCCAACTTTTTTCGTTATCTTCAGGCTAGAAATTTTGTAAAAACGCAGTTCCCTCACTTTCCCAATCGGCCTCCAGAAACAACTCTGGATATTATCCTGCAGACGAACCCTCATCAAAACAGACTGATATCAGCCTTGTATAAAATACTAGATGCTTTGGTCCCCAAATCCATTTCTCATATTAAGCTGAGATGGGAGGAAGAGCTACAGACAACCCTGCCAGAACAGCAGTGGGATTCTGCTTTGAAATTGATTCACTCGTCCTCAATTTGTGCTCGCCATGCTTTGATTCAGTGCAAGGTGGTCTATAAAGTACACTATACAAACGCATAATTATCTAAAATCTATCCAACCATTAGTGATGCCTGTAGCAGATGCGGACTATCGCCTGCAAACCATGTCCACATGTTTTGGTCTTGTTCGAAACTGAGTGCATTTTGGAGGAATATATTCGACACACTTAGCCAAGCATATGGCCAGACTGTCCCTCCTAACCCACTTTCCGCAATTTTTGGCATTCCTCCCGACTATCTGGCCCCCTCAAACAGGCCCTAGCCTTTACCACTTTACTAGCTCGGAGGCTTATTCTGTTGAAGTGGAAGCTTCCCTACCCCCCAACTCATGATCATTGGGTTAGAGATGTACTCTTCAACTTAAAGTTGGAAAAACTTAGATTCTCTCTAAAAGGTTCTATTAGGGAATTTAACAAAATCTGGAAATCATTTCTCTTGCTGGTGGACACCATTACTCTACTTCCTGAGTCTGAAGTGAACTGAGCGAACATTATAATGTTGTTGTTGTTTTTTTTGTTTTTTTAAATCTTATTTATACCATATCTATTTGTTTTTCCTTTTGTTTTGTTTGGTCCTTTCTCTGCTTTTGTTTTCTCTGTTTTTGCTTTGTTTGTTTGTTTTTTTTGCGGGGTTTTTGTGTGTGTGTGTGTGTGTGTGTGTGGGTAGAGACTTGTTCGCTGTGGTGTCTTGTCTAGTGTGGACCTGGTAGGGGGAGAATTCGGGTTGGCGGGTATAATGGACATACAACTGTTCTGAAATCAAGATTGACTTTGCTGTTGCTAACTTTGTATGTCATTGTTGAAATCAATAAAACAAAGTTGGAATAATAGTATCTACTGTTATCTAGTTAATTGTGATGGTGCTGTTTTTATTATGTTGCTCTTTTTTTGTTTGCTTTCTCTTCTGTTTTTTTTTCTCCATACAGGTGATCCAGGT